GCATCCTAAAGTTAAAATGTCATATTGAAATTATACGTTTCGCCTACACCAACATAAATGATTTAAAAACTGCAGGAATGTGCATTATAATCAGTGGCGGCTCCGGAGTGTTTTTGTTGGGTAGTCTATGGTAGGGCTAACCCATACAGTGGGGGGGCTCAAGTCAGTATTTGCAATGTAATTACATACACGCCCCCTGGACAGTGAAACGCCACGCGTGAGGTTTAGATTATTTCCCTGTCTCAATCAAAATGGAGCTGTACGAAATAAAACGGCACATTTGTCTTGTAGTAAATAAAAAGGGATCCCTGTGAACGTGACGTATGATAGCACACGTTGAAGATCCAAGGGGGATACTGAACGGCGGTTCCGATTGATCTCATCAGTAAGGCATGACGCAGACCCAACGTTTCGTTGCTCTGATTGGCTGTAGGTCTATTCAAATTGCATTCGGAGGCATTTTGATCTGACCGCGGCCGCGCTGATATTATAACGCCAGAGAATTTCCACACCTTTAGTGTATAAAACTCCCCCACTACTTAGACTATTCCTTGCACCCCTCTAGCATAAGCCCAAATGGTCTCAACCATATTGCGTCAGTAACGTGCACTTGTTGTTACAGCAGGATCAGTTTGTGTGTTGTGGACACGACCCGTATAGTTTCGCAAGCAGTGTTCTCAACATTTAGCATTTTGCTTATTATTTAATTGAATTTGCTCACTTTAACATCATTTTTCATGGTCGGGCTAAGGTGGGGCTAAGGTGGGGCTAAGGTGGGGCTAAGGTGGGGCTAAGGTGGGGCTAAGGTGGGGCTAAGCCATTTCTTGGTATGGCTGTAGCCTACCCCAGCCATACCCTGGCGCCGCCACTGATTATAAAGTACTTGGGCTGTTTTCACTCCATGTGTTTGCCTTGATCTGTCATTTTAGCTCTCTGTGCATTATGTAATAATACACACACACACACACACACACACACACACACACACACACACACACACACACACACAGACACACACACACACACACACACACACACACACACACACACACACACACACACACACACACACACATCATGTATACATCACTTCAGGGGACATTACATTGACTTACATGCATGTCCTGGAGACTTATCCTAACCTTAACCATAACCAACACATGCCTTACCCTAACCCTTATCCCTAATCCTAATCCTAATCCTTAACCTAACCAAGTCTTCACCCTAAAATTAATGATTCCCCTCATGGGGACCTCCAATTTGTCCCCATAAGGGAGGTGAGTCCCCACACGTGACTATGTAAACAGATTTAGGTCCCCACAAGTATAGTAATGCTAGAACACACACACACACACACACACACGTGCACGCGCACGCACACACACACACACACACACACACACACACACACACACACACACACACACACTGAGGGATTAGCCTTTCCTGGAGGTGGCGTGTGTGTGATGGGAGGAGCCGTGCGCTTTGGAAATAAACTTTAATTTCCTGCAGTCATGGGAATTTGACCCTTTTATCCCGACATGCTCACACACACATTCACTACGATGAAAATACTCTTTCTTCTCTTACGTTTTAATTACGTTCTCTCTCATCTGTGATTAAGGGGCGAATAAGATAATTATTTCTATATTTAGAGCCCCAAGTTATTCTGGTTTGTGATTTTATTTTTGCGATGCCGGGAACTCCGATGGTTCCTTAATAGGGAAAAGACCCCGATGTTGAGTTAATGATTTCTAAACACCGGCTTGGTAACCTAAACAATGGCTCCGTCCACATAAACCCAGTCAGAGGAGGAGGAGGATGTGGAGCTCGTAAAACAGAAGCACACACCGTTAAAACACAGACACAGAAAAATGCTGCTGCATAATATGCCCTCTCAACATTACCCACTATATTTAGGCATTGTTTTCTGCTATTAAACTCCACTGTTGCTGCCACTGGTTTCAATGTGTGGCTGGTAATCCTCAGGAATGTGGAGTAAACACCAAACAAACAAGCAATGCTGGTTTTCAGACAATCCAAGATTAGATTCAATTGCAAATGGGTCCTATTCTGCTCATTTTCAGGATCATACTTGTATGTAGTGTCTCTACTTTAAAGAGTCCTCTCCTGTGTTCAGGTGTATATCAGTATGTAGTGTCTCTACTTTAAAGAGTCCTCTCCTGCTGATGTTCAGGTGTATATCAGTATCTAGTGTCTCTACTTTAAAGAGTCCTCTTCTGCTGATGTTCAGGTGTATATCAGTATGTAGTGTCTCTACTTTAAAGAGTCCTCTTCTGCTGATGTTCAGGTGTATATCAGTATGTAGTGTCTCTACTTTAAAGAGTCCTCTTCTGCTGATATTCAGGTGTACATCAGTATGTAGTGTCTCTACTTTAAAGAGTCCTCTCCTGCTGATGCTCAGGTGTATATCAGTATGTAGTGTCTCTACTTTAAAGAGTCCTCTCCTGCTGATGTTCAGGTGTATATCAGTATGTAGTGTCTCTACTTTAAAGAGTCCTCTCCTGCTGATGTTCAGGTGTATATCAGTATGAAGTGTCTCTACTTTAAAGAGTCCTCTCCTGCTGATGTTCAGGTGTATATCAGTATGCAGTGTCTCTACTTTAAAGAGTCCTCTCCTGCTGATGTTCAGGTGTATATCAGTATGTAGTGTCTCTACTTTAAAGAGTCCTCTCCTGCTGATGTTCAGGTGTATATCAGTATGTAGTGTCTCTACTTTAAAGAGTTCTCTCCTGCTGATGTTCAGGTGTATATCAGTATGTAGTGTCTCTACTTTAAAGAGTCCTCTCCTGCTGATGTTCAGGTGTATATCAGTATAGTGTCTCTACTTTAAAGAGTCCTCTCCTGCTGATGTTCAGGTGTATATCAGTATGTAGTGACTCTACTTTAAAGAGTCCTCTCCTGCTGATGTTCAGGTGTATATCAGTATGTAGTGTCTCTACTTTAAAGAGTCCTCTCCTGCTGATGTTCAGGTGTATATCAGTATGTAGTGTCTCTACTTTAAAGAGTCCTCTCCTGCTGATGTTCAGGTGTATATCAGTATGTAGTGTCTCTACTTTAAAGAGTCCTCTCCTGCTGATGTTCAGGTGTATATCAGTATGTAGTGTCTCTACTTTAAAGAGTCCTCTCCTGCTGATATGTAGGTGTGTATCAAGTTTTGAATTATAATTTGCCTCTCTCTTCCGAATTTTCTCACATACTGTACACACACACACACACACACACACACACACACACACACACACACACACACACACACACAATGTCCCTTTGTCTTTCATGTCTGGGTCCGTGCAGCCATTAAGCGAAGCGGCTATTTAAACCAACAACACCTATTGAAATGCTCCGCTTTATTCTGGGAACAAAGCAAGACGTACAAGGACTAACGGGAGTGAAGCTGATAATGAGGGTGGGGTTTGTTTTCAGAGAAAGGGGTGATGATAGAGTGTATGATGTTAAATTTAGCGCTGAAAAATGTATATTTTCATGTATATATGTGTGTTTGTGTAGCGTTGAGCGGGCATCTTATAAATCAAACACACTTACATAAATGGAAATTAGACATCAATACTTATTTTTCTGACGACTTTTTACTTTGACTTCTCACATGTTGAACCCAAATACCTGTACTTTCTACTTCTTACATGTTGAACTCAAATACCTGTACTTTCTACTTCTTACATGTTGAACACAAATACCTGTACTTTCTACTTCTTACATGTTGAACTCAAATACCTGTACTTTCTACTTCTTACATGTTGAACACAAATACCTGTACTTTCTACTTCTCACATGTTGAACCCAAATACCTGTACTTTCTACTTCTTACATGTTGAACTCAAATACCTGTACTTTCTACTTCTGACATGTTGAACCCAAATACCTGTACTTTCTACTTCTTACATGTTGAACACAAATACCTGTACTTTCTACTTCTTACATGTTGAACTCAAATACCTGTACTTTCTACTTCTGACATGTTGAACCCAAATACCTGTACTTTCTACTTCTTACATGTTGAACACAAATACCTGTACTTTCTACTTCTTACATGTTGAACTCAAATACCTGTACTTTCTACTTCTTACATGTTGAACTCAAATACCTGTACTTTCTACTTCTTACATGTTGAACCCAAATACCTGTACTTTCTACTTCTTACATGTTGAACACAAATACCTGTACTTTCTACTTCTTACATGTTGAATACAAATACCTGTACTTTCTACTTCTTACATGTTGAACTCAAATACCTGTACTTTCTACTTCTTACATGTTGAATACAAATACCTGTACTTTCTACTTCTTACATGTTGAACTCAAATACCTGTACTTTCTACTTCTTACATGTTGAACTCAAATACCTGTACTTTCTACTTCTTACATGTTGAACCCAAATACCTGTACTTTCTACTTCTTACATGTTGAACTCAAATACCTGTACTTTCTACTTCTTACATGTTGAACTCAAATACTTGTACTTTCTACTTCTCTCATTTTCCAAACAGCTGGTTCCTTTAGTCTGAATGTGTGTTTGGTGCGTGATCATTATTCTTTAGAGTCATTGCGTGCCTATTGATTTGAACACGATCCGTGTATCCATCATTTCCTGGTCTTCTCTAAAGAAGAGGGACCAATGGAAACGTTGTCATGTTGTCGTTGTTCAGCATGGAAACATTCATTAGCTAACAATGACATTATTGTTCTATTAATATAAAGGGAGGTCAGGTACTCTTTAAAACAGCTGCTAGTTATGGGTACTTTTTACTGAAGTACATTTCAAAGTCTTTACTTTTACTTGAGTAAAGAAGTTTAGTCAGTACTTCTACTTTTACAGAGTACTTTTAAACACGAGTACTTCTACTTGAGTAAAGGATGTGTGTACTTTTGCCATCACTTATCGAGTGGTACACAGCCCTCATTGTTCAAGCATAACTTATCATTTTATTCATGGTCACTTTTTTGTTTTTCTCTCTCAGAAATACACAAACGGAGGAAATCTCTACGCAGGAAGTTCGACTCCTTTTCGAAGGAGAAGAAAGAGCGAGGTGAGTTTGTCACACTAACAAGGTCAGGTGTGGTTAAACACAAAACCATCTGTTTTTCATAGAGTCCCTACATGACCCCCGTCACAAAATGTGTTTGTGACGGTAGATAATACAAACACAATGTGCCTTTCAGAGGTTGAAGCAGCCGCTGACGTCTTGTGGCTTTTACCACGAGCGCTCTCACATTCTCGGAGTGTTTATAAAGGACGAGAGTCTCAGAGCGTTCAATGTCTCTGCGTCGTTTCCTCTTTATTTCAACATAAACTGATAAATGACACAAACTCCCACCATGCTGTGTCATCTAACTAATGTGAAAACAAACTCCCTCCCTCAGTAGTGTGCTTACGTACCTGCATTACTGGAAGTATCACGTTTTAAAGTACTATTTATTTTATATACGTTGGGCATTGATGTCATTTCTGTCGTTGCTCATAGTATATTAAATCACATTAACTCAGTGTTGGACTATCTTGAAATAAATCATAACTACAATTTGATTATCTCCTTACTTACTGCATTTTAAGTGATTCATCTCTCTTGGACAACTTCAAGTTTATTTATATAGCACATTTTAGCAAGAGGAAACTCAAAGTGCTTTACAAAGAGACATATAAAAAGCATTAAGATATAGCGCAACTGAAACGCATTATAGAAGGACATTTAAATAAGTCCTTAAAAAGCCAAGAGAATGCAAATTAAAACTGCAAACTGACCTAGAATAACACAGGTATAACATAATGAATAAAAGTGACAACAAGTGTAAAATATGAATAGAAAATTATATAATTACAAAAGATACACAATATATTTCATGTATGTTTTTTTCCTATTGTCAGACAGAGAAATAGTCACATTTAAAAAATAAAAATCTTTAAAAAAAAATTACTTATTTTTATGGTTTCATTTAATTTTTGAAAACATTGACAACAATGAAAATATGAAATTGTATTTTGTTTAAATAGATACAAATTGGTCTGATACTACCCAAAACTAAGTGGTGTTGGGTAGGGATGCATACCGGTATCACCGAAATACCGGTTACTGGTGGCTACGGTATACCGTACCGAAATCAGATCCGGTTTCGATACTTTAAAAAAAAAAAAAAAAAAAATTAATTTTAATTAATTTTAAAAGTGAGTCCGTGGCCTGTGATGGCGGGTGTTATAAATTAGATTGCATAATCGTTTTTCTTCATATTTTATGTATTTTTCATTGTTTGTTCAATACTAGAAAGGTAAAAGTCCCACAAATGAACTGTGATGGGATTTGTTTTCTCTCACCAGTGAAGGCAAATGTTGATTTTAAAGATGAGATTTGTTTGTTTGTGCAATGCCGAGATCTCATGACCATTATTCTATTATGTATTTGTTCTCTAGTCGAATCTCAGGTTTAACATAAATTATAACGGTGCTATAACGGTCTGTTTGCATTGACAAGATGTGCTATTCACGCGGCACACCTGATGGCCGGTGTTATAAAAGATATTCCATAATCGGTTTTCTTCATATTTTGTTATGTATCTTTCATTGTTTGTTCAGAACTACAAGGTCCAAGAAGTCCCACAATTGAATTGAATATTCATTTGACATGTTAACTATATCGTAAAGCGCTTCATGGGAGTAATTGTGGGATGATACATTTTCAAAGTATCACGATATGTATCGGTTGAGTATCGGTATCGTTCAGTGGTATCGGTATCGTAAAAAAGTCAACGATATGCATCCCTAGTGTTGGGTTTACTTTCATGCAACAAAATCAGCTTTCAAAAACATCTAACTACACAATTCAACCTCTAATCTACACAGGTCCTCAAAGGCATCACTGTCTGTCACTTGCCTCCATCTTTATACTTTCTTTCTCTTCTGCTTTCTTTACCTCCACCTCTTCTTTACCATCCTGCTCTGTGGCTCCAGCCTCTCATAAAGAGATGTTCTTATTCTCAGGTGATTATCAGAACAGTGCTTGGAGTTACGAGCCAAAACAAACGCCACACACACACATTCCCAGGCTCTCTGCGGCGCTCCTTAAATCCTGGCTGCAGCCCACAGGGATTTAGCCGAAGCTAACCTTGCTAATCAAAACACAGAACATTGGGACCTGGCAGCGATAGAGCTGGCTCTGCTCCCTCTGCTCCTGAAGGCATCTCCGTGTGGCCTTCAGGGACCAGCAGTAAGGGAGATAGTCAAACTCTGCTTGGGTTTGCACTTCTGCACCGCTGGCAAAATCACTGCATGAAGTCAAAGCTTCCAAAAGCTAAAGCTAAAGGGAGGTTTCATCAGGCAGGAATTTAAGATTGGAGCTAACTGACGCTCAAACAGTTTATTGTGATGTCTTCACTTTTAAATCTAAGACTTAAGATGCCCAAAATATCTCTCTTTTTCAGTCATTGTAAGTAGGTAGTGTTGTTGGACAGAGCTTCAGCGTTGACGTATGCAGATGTAATGAGTGCCAAACGTTTATTTGGATGTCAAAATGTTATGGGTTAACGGCATGCTCGAAGCTAATTAGACAATGTCTGTTATTACGCAGTATAACCTGAAGGAAGGAGGGTTTTTTACGGGGGGCAAAAAGCCAAAATGTAGTTTATTTGTGTAGTCTAGACCTTTCTTTTCAAACAGAAGCTGCTCAGAGGCATACGTGTAAATAAGAAAAGGCAATACCCATAATGTAATATTGATCTTAATGTGATAATCAGTTTCATTAACCATCAATAACTCTGAAAATAGCTAACTTTAAAGTCTTTGCGGTCATTTTAGCCAGCTTAACTGCCAACTCCAGACATAATTATGGTGTTGCTCTTGATTATAACCACAAAATACCCAAACTAGCTGTTCAAATGACAAGAGATGGATGAAGACGTTTCAAATCCTGCTTATTTTACTCCATTGACCTGGCTAATGGCTACATAAATCAGACATAAGTAATAACTTTAGTTGGAAACCCCACCACTGTGAAGTTGGAAAAGGGGGTTTCACACATGATTAGCTCATTCAGCCTCTTCGCCCCTCACTCCACCTCCAATATTTGTGTTTTTACTACATTGTTTTGCGGGAAAGGTTAGGAAGTTCCTACACTTCCTATAGTTTGCTTCTGTGTTGTTTCACTGGGGTTTACACAGAGGACATCCTGAGTTAAGTCAACATACATTCACTTAACTCAAGACCCCCTGAGGACCCATTTTCACAACCAGCTGCTGACGGGGTGATGGAGGAATAGTACTGAGAAACTTCTAAATATAATACCTCCTTCATTCTTCCAGGAACACACAATGACCCGAGGACCAGAAATACTAAAGCAGTGACATTCCTGAACAATAAGAGTGGGACACACAGAGCTGTCTTCCTGTCTGAGTTTAGTGTTTTACTTTCAACAGGGTCAGGTCCGGAGGGGTCTCATCAGTGAAAAACTGACTGTAGTAATCATGACTACTGGGGCCAAGGTTTTAAATGAACTGAGGTCAGGACTTCATATCCCCTATACTGCAAAACCCATAAAACCCCGTAATCCTGTGGTACGAAGGAAATATAAGATTATCAGACGAGTTATTCATGCATTTCTTAATAAATATCATATTGGTTAATTTGTATGTATATTTAACTGTCAAATGTATTCTTATTGTCATATATATAATTCAGGTAGAGAAATACTTTCTGGCCAACTAAGTCTTTTTCCTAAGGGGTTTTATTGCAATGAGTGAGCACTTTACACAACAATGAAAATAAGTACTGCTTTGAAACAACTGCTTACTACAAATACTCCTATTCAGGTTGATTTTAAACGCACACCCTAAAAACCTCCACTTTATTCACCTTTCTTATAAAAGTTTAGTAGTGAAACCTCAGATCTCTCGGTTGTCTAAATATCCCGTTACCGTCTGTCTGTCTGTCTGTCTCTGAAGTTTCCAGGACTTTAAAGCCAACCATTAAATCCTCGTCTGTTTACCTTAACACCTCCAGCAGCTCCAGCAGCTCACAATGCCAACTTTTATTTTTTACTGGATGCCAGAAGACATGTCCAAATGTCAGGAGACAGAAGTCCTGCCAGCAGACGTCAGGACTGAGAGGAGTTAGCCGTTAAATGATCGAGCATCTTATTCATTGTTGTTGCCTGGCAGAAATGTGCTTGTTTGAGTTAAAGGGTGACGTGTGCATAAGAAAAATCTTCCAGCCACTTCAAGACAAAGGGTGTCGAGGAAGTCATCGAGTCCCGCCGAAGGGCTGTTCCAATGTCCAGGATCCTTGGAATTCTACCGAGGCCGGCGTCCTTCGTTGCGAGACATTTCGAGGCTGCACATGTGTATCCCCGCGGTCTTAAAATCCCCACAATGCTTTGCGCACGGACCAATTTCCAAAATCTTTGGCGGAAAATGTAAGGCATTCCCCCTGTTCCACCATTCTTCGTTTTCCGAGGCTAGGAAGGATTCTTGCCTCGCTTCTGAAGGAAGTGACTCGGTCCTACCAAGGAAGCGTCCTCGACATTGAGAAACACTTCCTGATGAAGTGTGCTCGAGCACGGATTTTACCTTAATAAGAAGGATTTATTTAATTAAATATATGTACTTAAAATAGCTTTGCAAAACAGATACCGATGCTGGTCATTATGAGAGGTGGAGGATATATACTCCTTAAAAACCTTATACCTTAAAAAAGTACCAGAAGCGCTCATTATGCGTTAATGCAACTTGTATAATAGTATATATGGTGTTATTTCGTTATAATTGATGCAGAAGTTCTCAACTTTTTTTGGGCTTGAAACTTTTATCCCCATGAATTGAAATGTTGGCTAAAAGCTTTCCTTAATATAATATAACTTGTACTTTTCTGTGTTTAAATCGTAAGACGTAATGCTACGAGCTAATGCTAACTGGCAGTCGGCCAACAAGGCGCTTGTTGAGGAGCTTAACTCTGAGCCTCAAACTGAAACATTTAAATAATAATCTCCCTTTTTCCCGGAGGTTCTGGGAGTTAAGATTTAGGCCAAATTCACACCACCGTACAATGCTAGAATCAAAACAGTGTCATTTCTTATATTTGACATGTTTCTTTGGCTTGTCGCTCTTTAATCCAATCGATCTTCTTAACCCCTAATTCACACCTCCTAATTGGATTTTGTGCCAGATCATCCGTTGGGTTTGTGACGTAGCAGATTTCCAGATTAACATGGTGATTCATTATCTGCAGTAATCTGCTATCTGATGTCTGCCTCTTCAAGTGGATTATCCCTCTCTTACCGTAACTCTATCTATTCTGTCTATTCTTACACTGCTTTTCTACTTGAGCTCTGATCACAAGCAGGTGCCTTTTTAAATCCTGTTCAATAGGTTTCCTCTTAACGCCAACTTGGCCAGACCCTCTACACAACATGAGAGCAAACTTGAAGTGATGAAATATCACAATGTGCTTTCTTCTGTCGTCTCCTCTTCGACTTTCTTGTTATTTTACTGTCCTTTTTCTCCTTTTTCATTACGTTTAAGTATTGCTTATATTAGTTATAAATGCTTTTTGTTTTGTACATTTTGTTGGTATGTACGGAGGAGGATCAGGGCCATGTGACAAACTTTTTTTGGGGATGTGACAAAAGGAGTTCGGACTTCTTCGGAGTCTCAGAAATTTTAGAAAAAAGGGAAAATTCAGACTTTTTTCCCTCAGAATTCAGACTGTTATTCTCATGTGGCCCTAATCGTCTTCCACTGCAAAACATGATTATGAAAAGTAATACATTTTTGGGATGTGAGAAAAAACGTTAGGCTTTGAATCTCAGAATCCTTAGAAAAAAAAAATCTAAATTTTCTCAGAATTCAGATTTTTTTTCTCAGAATTCAGAATTTTTTCGCATAATTCGGGACATTTTCTCAGAATTCAGATGTTTTTCTCTCATATGGCCCTAATCCTCTTCCATAGGTATACACTGTAACAACATGATAATTAAAAGTAATACATTGTTGGGGTTTGACAGAAAACGTTCGGATTTGAATCTCAGAATTCTGAACATTTCTCAGAATTCAGACTTGTTTAGTAATACAAAGTAATAACATAATAAAAAGTAATACATTTTTTTGCTTTTCTATTTAATCTGGATTATATCTCTCCTCAGAGTCGGCCCCCAAGGCGTTTGGGATCCCTCTCTCCCAGGTCATCGCTAACGACCGGGCCTATAAGCTGCGTCAGGACGCCCTGAAGGAGAGCCGGAGGGACTGTCTGGACCTCGAGGCCTCGGTGCTGCGCTTCAGAGCCGAGAAGAGGCAGTTCTTCAACGGGAGCAAGCCGCCGGTCGGCCCCTCGTCTCTCACAGTGGGGGGTCTCTGCTCTCCGTACGCTAACTCCGTGGCGCCGCTTTCTGAGACCCAGAAGAGCCCGCTGTCGCCCACGTTTCTGGATAACACCGGGCGAGGACAGAGGAGGGTGAGTGGGAGGCAATATTATAACCATAAAAGCTGTTAAAATATGTGTCAACATCTCAGAAACTAAGATATACAGCCTTCTCTATCAAACCATTACATTTCTTTAAAGACTTTCAATAAATCCAGGGGTAATCTTCGCTCTCTCAACCCCATAAATAAATGTGTACAAGTTGTAAAAATGTTAAATTGATACCACTATATTTACTAAGCCTAATGTTCTTCTTAAATACTTACAATATAGAAATGTAAGTATTTAAGAAGATCATTTTAAGTTTATTGTAATTGATATCCCAGTATAATTAGACAGTACCCACATACCCACTTTAAAGAACAAATGACAAGTAGAAACACACAAGTGTAGAAGTGTAGCCTGTATTTCACATTCTCCAAGTGCAACACGACCGTCTTTCATTTTTCGTTTTCGGAGAGATTTGAATCAGTTGCTTAGGAAATAAAATTGTGAGTGGGAGTGAATAATCGAATCATTATAGGGTCAAAATGTTTCTAAAATGTGTCAACATCTCAGAAACTAAGACACACAGATTAATGTGTAGATTCAATAATACATTTGACCCCATATGCTTGGTAGTACCACCACCATTTATACGCCTAACGTGTGATTTACAAATAAAACATATTTCAGAAATCTGGAATACACATAGTTTTCACATAGGGCAAGGCAGGTATATTTATAATGCACTAACCCACATACACACTTTGTTTTCACATTTAGGAAGTGTAGCCTATATTTGACGTTACTTTTTTCTTGCCCTAAGTGCAGTCTTGCATTTCTTCCGTGCCTTTGACAAATACCACATTTAATCGATTTAATAAAGCAGGGGTTATTTCTTTATTGAGCCTTGCTTCCACGTGTGTCTTCGGAGAGATTTGAATCAGTTACTGAAGGAAAGAAAATTCTGATCTGAGTCTGAAGTAAGGTGTGTGTGTGTGTGTGTGTGTGTGTGTGTGTGTGTGTGTGTGTGTGGTGTGTGTGTGTGTGTGTGTGTGTGTGTGTGTGTGTGTGTGTGTGT